ATCCCTATTTTTGTTGACTAAGTTCTCCGCCATACATTTTTCTATGCACATTAGGGTTTCTTTTTCAAGCACATTTAACTTTTGCTTTTAAAAAAATATTTAGGTTTTAAGCACATTTGACTTATTATTCACATTTTTATATGTAAATGAAGCGGCACATATATATATATATATGTATGTATGTATCTCACATAAAGACCATATGTCTTATAACAAAATAATTGTTTTTTGCACAAGTTTAAGTCTGTCTGTACCAAATTAATCTAAATTATATAGATCAGGATCTGCATATTGGTGTAGAGGAAAATTACGTTGCTTTTAGGTAACGTGGCTAAGCCTAATAAAATGAATGTTAAAGCATAATCGTTAAAGAAATGATGATTAATTGCATTTCAAATGTAGGGCATTAAAAAACTTAAATTTGATGACAGATAAAGAAGTTACGCAGTACGGCATACTGTACAAAGTAACTCACAACAATGATACTTAACAAACAAAAGCATAAAATCATAACAGAGATGCGATATTAATTAACAACCCAACTGTGAATTATTCTAGTTAGTTCCACATTCGTACCAAAGTACGTGTGTCCATGCACCCACTAATAATTAAGTGATCAGTGATCAGCTCATCACTAGTTTAATTAATTAACTGATTAACGGTTTTGTGTGCAAATGCATCTGTGGTGTAAACCCCAGCACCAGCCACCGGGGAAGAGCTTAGTTTGGCAAACAACAGCACAGTTACTTTTACTCATGCAATTTCCCTTGAAGCGGTTACTCTGAGACTTGCAGGTCCTGCCCTACGCAAATGTCGTCCCTTTACACAAGTATTCCAAACCAAATATGGTTACTATGCATGCTTATAATCGTAATAATATATACATTAACGATAAAGTTAGTTAACAAGGTCGAGCAAGTGGAAATATCACCGGTTGCCACCAAAAGTAGCAGGAAGAAGCAGATAGTTGGGAGAAAACGCATGGAACACTTTTTATATATGTATCTGTAACAAGTTTACAATTAAGGGATCCCCATTTTTTTTGAAAAATGGGGACATCCTCTTAACCGTTAGATTTGACTTTAATGAAATCTTATTGTTCCTGTGGTTGAGATTCTGTGGCCTGTGATTTAATCTCAACCACATAATTTCATTAAAGCCAAATCTAATGGTCAAGAGGGTGTCCCCATTTTTTTTTGAAAAATGGGGATCCCTTCCCTTAAAGGGCATGTGCGTGTGTGTGTGTATATATATATATATCTTTGCATATATAAGCTCTTATAAATTCATATTATAGAAATACATCAAAGGCGAAGTCTTAGATCTATATGAATTAGGACATCCTAAAAAATAAAGTCACAAATTAAAAAGCTTAAGAATTTATTAACAAAGCACATATATTAATCCGTAAAATATTTCATACAACATATGACAATATCTCATGACACATTTTCAAGTTTTGAAAGTGTTGCATAACAATTTCATTATACTAATACCATCAACTATTTCTTTCTACAAAAATACCCATGTTATTATTCATCCATTAATTTTCTTACAATTTCTCAATTGATCCTTTAGAAATTTCATAGCTGAACATGCTTTATCTCATGAAATTATTATATGCAATATGTACAATTTTTTCACAAAAAAAAACTGAGTTAGGACATCCACCCCTTGGGCCCCAGGTGGCTCCATCCTTGGCAATATATACCACACACACTATGCAGAAAAGTGAAAAAAAAAAAAAACGAAAGTGTTTTATGAAAAAAAGATGTGGAAGAGTCTTTTAAAATGTTATCAAGAAAATATTATCTTTAAGGACTATTTGTCCTAAAATAAAATAAAAATAAACAATTAAGTCTTTGTTTAAAAGTTGCTTAAGCAATTTCGAACCTTTTCCTAATTTTTTCTTGTGCATCAACCTCTCCTTGTCGTACATATATTACTACTGGTTTAAAAATCAAAAGAACTTAATACAATAGATGATGTGGATAAAAAAGTACTTCTGGAATCGACAATGCGACTTAAAATAATTTTTGTGACACAAATTAAAATAATTTGTTGAAGCCAAGTACACTAAGTGAAAATTTTCAACAAAATCCTTTGTCAAAATAGTGAGAGAATTATTGTTATTAGCATTTCACAATAATTATCTTGCATTCTTTCTTATTTGAAAGTCAATAAACGAACAAAGAGTGCGTGGTGACTATCTAGAATGTTAATAATAACTTTGAAGAAAAACATATAGGATAATAGGCGATTAAAAGTACATAAGGCGTGGTGAAAACACTACACTAGACATATGAATAATGATCTTTGCAGGGTCATTCAATTTATTAGCAAAAATAACCATGTGGATACAGGGTCATATCAATCCATCGCATTACACAAGCATGGTCTCTATACATATTACATTTCTTTTTAACAAATTAATTAGCACTTTTTCGTGCACATGCATGTACGGGTGAAGCCACTGCATTTGCCTTTGGTGAATTGCTCCATTCTACAAGTGTGTTTACAGTTGTTAGACAAAAAGCACAACCTACCTTGCTTGACTCACTCTTTGCCTCAACACCCATTGGTCCCATCTCTAAAGATCAATTTTTTCTTGTTGAATAAGATGCTTTATTCAAAACATCATAAAAAATTAATTATTAAAAAGAGGTATAATTACTGGTAGAGGCCAAAAGCAAGACAAGAACGAATGCGGTTGAAACAAGATGCATTGAATGCTCCGTTTGAATTTGTTTGTATGTGTGTGTGTGCTTGATCCGTGCGTTTCTATGTGTGCGCTTTTATATGATAAGAGAGATCTCAGACTTTAAAGCAAAGAACAATAACCGTGCAAGGCTTATTATATAGGGAACTAGTGCAGATTAAAGAGGATCGGTCTCTATGAGGAGAGGTAGCTCCGTACCCAAAATACAAAGTTGAGATTTCCAACTTTAGGCACCATAAACGAAATTCCTATTTTTGTTGACTAAGTTCTCCGCCATGCATTTTTCTATCCACATTAGGGTTTCTTTTTCAAACACATTTAACTTTTGCTTCACATTTTTATTTGTAAATGAAGCGATATATATATTATATATCTCACATAAAAGACCATAATTCTTATAACAATATAATTATTTTTTACAAAAATTTTAGTATGTCTGTACCAAATTAATCTAAATTATATAGATTAGGATTTGCACATTTGGGTACAGAAAGATTACGTTGCCTTAGCTAACTCGGCTAAGCCTAATAAATTGAATGTTAAAATAGAATCATTGAGGAAATGATGAATACCAGGGATGAAGTCTTATTCATACTATAGCAATACCCAGGGACGAAGTCTTATAGAATCATTATTTTAGGTAAGTTCTTATAAATTCATACTATAGCAATACCCTGGGACGAAGTCCTATAAATCCGTCGTTGGCCATACCACACATAGCATGCAGAAAGGTGAGAGAAAAATATGATAGTGTTTTAAGAGCATCTCCAAATGACATGTCAAAAAGTCCACATTAACAATAATAGTAATAAAATACATATCACTAGTGTTTTCCAACCGAAATGTCAATTGTCACATCCCGGCCCGGGGCGGGACGACTTCCCGGGCCCGCTCCACCACCGTAGCACGATATTGTCCACTTTGGGCCCCGACCACGCCCTTACGGTTTTGTTTTTGGGAACTCACACGAGAACTTCCCGATGGGTCACCCATCCTGGGAGTGCTCTCGCGCGCTGCTCGCTTAACTTCGGAGTTCCCATGGAACCCGAAGCCAGTGAGCTCCCAAAAGGCCTCGTGCTAGGTAGGGATGGGAATATACATATAAGGATCACTCCCCTGGGCGATGTGGGATGTCACAATCCACCCCCCTTTAGGGGCCTGACGTCCTCGTTGGCACATACGCAACCAGGGTTAGGCTCTGATACCAAATTGTCACATCTCGGCCCGGGGCGGGACGACTTCCCGGGCCCGCTCCACCACCGTAGCACAATATTGTCCGCTTTGGGCCCCGACCACGCCCTTACGGTTTTGTTTTTGGGAACTCACACGAGAACTTCCCGATGGATCACCCATCCTGGGAGTGCTCTCGCACGCTGCTCGCTTAACTTCGGAGTTCCCATGGAAAGCCAGTGAGCTCCCAAAAGGCCTCGTGCTAGGTAGGGATGGGAATATACATATAAGGATCACTCCCCTGGGCAATATGGGATGTCACATCAATTCTCATGTGGCATGACATGAAATTTGACATATCGGTTAGAGAACAACTATAAAAAGTAAATAATGTAAATAATGTTTTAAAATACTAATTACATGGAATTTGACATATTTGTTTTAAAATACTAAATACAACTATAAAAAGTAAATAATAGTTTAAATTTGACATATCGGTTAGAGAACAAAATTTATAAAAAGATCAATGTGCCACATAAACCTTCAAATTTAAATTTTGTATTTAAAATAAGAGATGATCTAAGAAAAAAATTGTGAAAGAGTCTTTTAAAATGTTATCAAGAAAATTTTATCTTAAAGGACTATTTCTTCTAAAATAAAATAAAAATAAACAATTAATTCTTTGTTTAAAAGTCGCATAAGCAACTTCGAACCTTTGCTTAATTTTTTTTCTTGAGCATCAACCTCACCTTGTCTTACATATATTATTACTGGTTTAAAAGTCAGAAGATCTTAATACAATAGAAGGTGTGGATAAAAAAGTACAATGTGACTTAACAATCTTTGTGATACAAATTAATGTAATGTGTTGAATACAAATACACTAAGTGAAATATTTTCAACAAATGCCTTGTCAAAACGGAAAGAAAAAAAGAATCATTATTAGCATTTCATGATAATTATCGTGCATTGTTCTTAATTAAAAGTCAATAAAACAAAAGAAGAGTATGTGGTGACTATAAAGAATATTAATAATAACTCTAAAGAAAAACATACAGGATAATAGACAATTAAAAATACGTAAGGCGTGGTGATAACACTACACAGGACATAAGAATAATGATCCATGCAGGGTCATTCAATTTATTAGCAAAAGCAACCCTGTGAATACAGGGTCATATCAATCCATCTCATTACACAAGCACGGTCCCTACACAGATTAAATTTCTTTTTAATAAATTAATTAGCACTTTTTGTTGCACATGCATCTACGGCGGAAGCCTCGACATTTGCCTCCGGTGAATTGCTCCCTTTTGCAAGTGTGTTTACAGTTGTTAGACGAAAAGCACAACCCCTTGAACTTGCCGCTCGCAGCCTCGCAGGTCCTTTCCTCAACTACCTTGCTTGACTTGCTCCTTGCCTCAACATCCATTGTCCCCATCTCTGAAGATCAATTTTTGTTGTTGAATGAGATGCTTTATTCAAAACATCATAAGAAATTAATTATTAAAAAGAGGCATAATTACCAGTAGCGACCAAAAGTAAGACAAGAACGAAGGAGGCCAAAACAAGACGCATTGAACGCTCCATTTGAATTTGTGTGTATATGAGTGTGTGCTTGATCTGTGTGTGTGTGTGCGCGCGTGCTTGTGTATGATAAGAGAGATCTCAGACGCTAATGCAAAGAACAATAACCATGCAAGGCTTATTATAAAGGGATCTAGGACAGGTTATAGAGGATTGATCTCCGTGAAGAGAGGTAGCTCCATACCCAAAATAAAAAGTTGAAATTTCCAACTTAAGAGACACCATAAACCAAATTCCTATTTTTGCTGACTACGCCCTCTGCCATACATTTTTCTATGCACATTAGGGTTTCTTTTCAAACACATTTAACTTTTGCTTTTAAAAGAATATTTGGGTTTTAAGCACATCTGACATATTATTCACATTTTTATATGTTAATAAAGCGGCCTATATATCTCACATAAAAGACCATAGTTCTTATCACAATATAATTGTCTTTCTACCAAATTAATCTAAATTATGTAGATCAGGATTTGCACGTTTAGTGTAGAGGAAGATTACGTTGCTTTAGGTACGTTGTTTTAGCTAACTCGGTTAAGCCTAATAAAATGAATGTTAAAATAAAATCATTGAGGAAATGATGATTAATCGTATTACGTAGGGCATTACAAAGACTTAAATTTGTTGACAAATATAAAACTGGTACGACATTACAAAGTAACTCACGACGATGGTACTTAACAAACAAGAACATCAAGAACTATAACAAGGATACGATATTAACAGCCCGACTGTGAGTTGGGTCATTAATTTATTTTACCTAGTGCCACCCTAGTCCCAAAGTACGTACATCCATGCACGCACTGGTAATTAAGTGATAAGCTCATCACTAGCTTAACTAATTTATTTAATTAGCTAATTAACAATGTCTAGTGCAAAAGAATCTACGGCATAAGCCACGACACTGGCCTCCACGGAAGCCCTCAGTTTGGCAAACAGCAACACAGTTACTTTTACTCACGCAAGTCCCCTTGAAGCGGTTACTCTGAGACTCGCAGGTCCTACCCTCTGCAACCATCGTCCCCTTAAGCAGTTATTCCAAACATATATGGTTAGTCTGCTTGGTTAAAATCGTAATAGAATATATTAATGATGAAGTTAATTAACATGATCGAGGGAGAAAAAATATTACCGGTGGCCACCAAAAGCAACAGGAAGACGAAGGCAGTTGGTATTAAGGTTGAAGAAAGCTTGATGAATGGTGAAGGATTTGTTTCAGAAAATACACAGAGAGAAAAGAGAGAGGGCTTGAGAGTTTGATGAAATGAATTGCTTTTCTTAATTGTCAAGTAATGTTTACAATGGTAGTTTATATAACTATCGTACTTACAAAGCTTGTAATGAAAGCTTTACTATTGGATTATATTCTAACCTGCTTATAACAACTTTTATAACTGCTCTTCTAACAACTCACAACTTCATATAACTACCTATTGACAAGTGACACTAGTTTGACCCTTGATCTCTTCTTGACTTGGATCCTTGATTCTTTTTTCTTCATCATTATGCTTACATTTGGGAGAAGACGCATTGAACGCTTCATCTTAATTTCTATTTATTTGTAATGAAAGAAAATGAAACAATAGGAGCCATGCATATTTCTGTGCTCAAATGAATGGGTGAGATCAGTACTTGCAGCAGTGAATTGTTTTTCACTGTCAACCTTTTTCTGAGAACGTGAAAGTACACATTGGTAAAAAGAAAAACCTTGTAAGAGCTTATAAGAAGTTTGGTCAATCATTGTATTGCCAATTGATTTTATCATAAAACATCAACCTTCAGGTTGACCCATGTGTGAAACCCAATGGCCACACGTGCTCCTCATCACCTAGTTCATGTTGTTCACGTGTTTGGCTTGAAAATTTGACGTGGAGGCATGTGAGAATGTGAAGGTAAAGAGTTTCACATTGGTGAAAAAGAAACTTTGCAAAGGCTCACACATTGTCACATTTGGGCTTATAAGATGTGGAGTTACTCTCAATATTGTGAATTGATTTTAGCACCGCCGTCATGCGCTGTCACGCATTGTCACGTTTCAGTGAGTAGACGTCGTACCCATCGTCGCAGATGCCGCGCGCCAGTCGTCGGGAAGTTTGACTCAGGGAAACGGAGGAAGTCTAACGGTGTCACCGCTGTCACCGTTAAGTCTAACGACGACCGCCATTGACCGTCGCTTGCTTGCGCTGGAACATCACCGGAAACTGCAGAAAAGCCCAGATTGTCACCCAGCTCGGATTTAACTCGTTTTCGAGTAATCAACCCAAATTTAGAATAAAACCACTCCTAAAACGTGCAAGAGCTTACCTTCACCGATTTCAGGTAGAATGGAGTTCGAATCCACCTCGGATTCGCCAGATTTTCTTCGAATGTGCTCACCGGATTCTGGAAAACCAACAGGGTCCATGCAGGGGTTAGAACCATCAGAATTTAACTCAGAACCTCATTACTTCCTTCCCAAGTTACAACAACTCAACCCAACAGGAAAGCACCCCCATCTGGCTTCGAACTCAACGGTTCTCACCGGAGTTCGTCGCCGGAACTGGACATGCATGCACAGAGGATGGCAGGGGTTAAAAACCCTTCATTCAAATTCTAATTTCACCAAACCACACCACAGAACACAGAATCAATCAAGTTCATAAGGAATGGAGCTAGGAACCTCACCTGAGTTCGAATAGGAACTCGGAGCTCCTGGGTTCTTCAGTTCAGTCCTCTCCCAGCCACCGATCACACATGCAAGGGCGTCATCGTGATCCTCATGTCACGAGGATGCAGAAAATGGTAGTTTGGGGTTTGATTATTTAAAGGGGAATGGTGATTGTGGGTGGTGGTTCTTGGTGAGTTAGAGAGAGTGAGGGTGACTTGCATAGAGATTGAGCTAGCGTAGAGAGGAGAGTGATTGAAAATGAGGGAAAAGAGAGGGACCGACAGTGGGTTAAATCCCACTTGGTAATTTCCTAAGTGAATTCACAAAAGTGCCCTCCATTACTTTAAATTTTACATTTTAACACTCGAGACTCCGATTTTAATTCCATCTTTGCCTATTCAATTGTGAGTACGAGAACAATTTAAGAAACTAAGAAAATATGAGAAGTTGATATTTAAGACAAGACGCTCAATGAAGGGTATTTTGGTCATTTCACATGATTTGGAAACAATAACAATATTTTAAAGTACGGGTTGTACATTATTTTAATTATAAAATTTCTAAACATGTAGAATTAGTATAAAAGCTTTGTGGGAACATGTAAAATTAACCTTTTTTTCCTAGCTACTTCATCCCTATAGAGATCATGTGGCAGACAAATGACCCTTGCTCGTTCTTATATAATAAGGTCAAACTAATGTCCTTATTTTGCATCTACATGAATGGAGCACCATATCTCAATTAAAAAGACCAATCGTTAAAGTACAATGGTTGAGAAGAACATTTGTTGCATCACAAAAGGTAGTGTATTATAAAGACGTTGAGAAATATGAAAGTTACATAAGCTAAACCCTAACTATACGAAATTACAAAACGGCTCACGCAGGTGGTACTTATAACAAACAAGAACACAAGAAAATTAATAACCCAACTGTGAAATATTGGGTTATTAATTTATTCTAGTAGCACACAAGCATGCATGTACGTACGTAGGTATTCAAGCACGGAAAGATAATTAAGCGATTATTAATCTTAATTCCCTCACATGTCACACATATATGTCTTGATTCCCTCACATTGTTAATTAGTAGCTAATTAATTAACAATGTTTAGTGCAGAAGCATCTGCGGCGAAAGCCACGACAATGGCCTCCACGGAAGCCCTCAGTCTGGCAAACAGCTGCACAATTACTTTTACTCGCGCAGCTTCCCTTGAACCGGTGGCTCTGAGACTCACAAGTCCTACCCTCTGCAGCCATTGGTCCCATCATCCCTGCCAATTATATACATTCCAAACATATATGAGTGATCTGTATATTTTCTTAGGCAGCAATTACAATATTAACACGAAGCAAGTTAGCTATAGAAGAATATGTAAATTTATGTTACCGGTAGCCACCAAAAGAAGGAAGAGGAAGGCAGTTGAAAATAAAGGCATGGATCGCTCCATCTTTCTATATGAGTTTTGATTTTTTGTATGTAAGAGGACTCAGTAGGAAGAGAGAGACCTGCAGTTGTGTAAAGATTAGTCAACATGCAAGTCCTTATATAGAGAGCTACCAGTACCAGATCGGTGCCATGCCATTGAGAACAACCGAGAAAATTAAAGGTTACTAATTAAAATATAGTGTTCTGTATGAATGAGTCATTGCGAGTGAGGGCGCACTAGTGTTGAAAGTTGAAACAGTGATTTCATTGTCTGTCTATGTGCTTCTTGTCCACATATCATGTCGACAATCCAAGCTCTATTGAGCTGTCAAACGTCTTCTTTTCTTCGCCACTCCACTTTACTTCACTGTATCGGAATCAATCTCTTTAAATTCAAAGAATATTGAAGAATTAATCTGGCAAATCATTTATAAAAAGGACACGTGGAATAATCACTTTGTTCATGGGGATATTTTTTGCCCACCAAATTTAAAATTTAAACTCATCTATCGTAATAAATAGAATGATGAACATTACGATCACTTGAAGGCCGTGAGCAAAAATGAACTAGTTGTTCACACTTCATAGTCACACTATCCCAACCCATCGAAATGAGGTTAGAAAATTAAGCATAAAGCTTAAAGAATATTCAATTGTTAGACTAATTGAACAAGGTTAGTTTCAGAAAACCCACCCAGCTTGGAAACTAAGGACTGTCATCCATCTTTTATATGCAGGTAGGCATTCTCTTTGTCCTCTAATTAACAAGGAAAACAACATTGACATGAAAATATAGAAATAATGTGAAGGGGAGTTTCGACAAACACAACCAAATCTAGCTTTTAAAAGAAAAGATATATCGTAGCAATGATGTAAAGTAGCCAAAAGGAAATAGATACGCATCTGTCTCATGAAAAAAGATACAGTGCAGCTTTCTTCCCATGTGATGGAACCCCTGCTACACGAAAAATATTATATAAATTATCATTTGACCCTCTAAACTATTACTCTTGTAGAAGTTGACCCATTGAACTATTTTTTTTGATAAGTTAACCACCTAAATTATTTGAAATTTGCTAATTAATCCCTCACCCTCAAATTCGATGAAATTTCATCTACTTTGCCATCAGATATAGTGGCACAATGTTATCTTCAAGACTGAATCACATTCTGGTCACGTGTCAATATTTCATGGCAAAATAGATGAAATTACATCGAATTTCACAGTGAAAGATTTAATTGGCTATATTCAAATAATTCAGAGGATTGATTTACCAAAAAAATGTTTTAAAATGTCAATTTTATCTGGAATAATAGTTCATAGTAAAAGCACAGTTTACTGAAAAATGTTTTCGATGTGTCGGTACTGACTTTTCAAACTTCTAGAATTACTTGCATGTAGTCACTGTTGAAATGGTTAACTCCTTTTCCCAATTATCTGCTTTCGTTTCCTTTTTAATACAGACAACTATACTCCAGTTCAAGTTCATTTCTTATTTAGGTTTGGGGGAAAATAATAGGAAAGGGGCATTGATCACAGTCCACGGTCCATTCCGTGAGAAAATTGCACATATCATTTGATTTCAAATTACCAGTGCTTTGGGAAGCACTTCAACTGGTAATAAAAAGTGTTTCTAACAAATGCGCTTACAAGCACAAGTGCTTTCTAGAGAAGCGCTTAGGCATAAACAAGTGTGGAGTGTAGATAGGTAGCATGCCCTTGCATGAGTATACACATTATAAATCGCACACAAAAAAATCTGTATCCCCAACTCCCCCCATCCACGAAACAGGACCTACCTAGTAGGTCCTGAAAACAAAAGTATAAACAAAATGACAACCAGAAAATTCTTCATCAGGCACAATCGTAACAGTTGGAGACGCGTAAGGCAGCCTACCGAGCATGAATATGTCCATTCATTCCCAAGTAACCGAGACCATAGAGTTGGCCAGACCTGATTCTTCAAAAGTAGATTGACAATCATAATCCAGATTCTTTGAAGCTCCTGGGATTGCCTGTGTCAACTGAAATGGCCTTGCCTCGACTTCCGTTAGTTGGGAATAGCAGAATGACCACAACAGCTGCAAAATAAACAGTTCAAATTTACCAACCATAGGAAGGGAGGTTAAGCATAAACAAACCTTCTGCATAAAAATCTAAAATTTCCTCACTTACCTGAATTGGATCAATACGAAGGAAGTTCCGCTGGACCCTGCGACCGTCTGGAAGACGGACTCCAACTCTGCATAGGAGGTTCCTGTCACCCTTGGGTTCTTCAGGCAAAGGTGGGTATGTAGGCATCTTGATTGAGCTAGTTTCTTCCTCCTTGTCAGTGATAATTTCATCTTTGTCCTTGGATATTGTTCCACTGGTCTCCTTCATGCCTTCCATGGAAGCTGCCAATGCGCGCTGCATTTCCTCATCTTCTTCATTAGCTTCCTCTGCAACTGAAGCATCTTAAGTCATACATGCAGTTCGTCTAAGAAAAGGAAAGGGGAAAGGAAAATATATCCAAAATACAAGTCACTCTGCTGCTACCAAGTCAATATGGTATTGTCAAGGCTTAAGAACTTAGCAATATAAGCGGTCAGGTTCAAGAATTTACTGAAATCACTTCCACTACGGGAGTAAAAGCATACACTGATCTTGGTTTCTTCTGTATGTATATCAACTTTGAGTTCATATCACACTTCACACAAGGATTCTTTTTCCTCTCCCACACCCCCAAGCCCACTTTGTTAAGTTGGAACAAGGAAGCGATCCATTCAAAAGGTTCAACCAAGTGATAATACATGAGCTATAATTTGGAAAATAATCGAAGCGCAACAGACTCCACGAATAAAAAAGTTCACTGCAATGTAATGGAGCAGAAGTTATTAAGAATCCCAAACATACCTTTAGTTTTTTGTGGATGAGCAGTTTCTCTTGGGCGTTTATTGGACAAAGTTACATGATGATCCCGAGGGCCACCATCCAAGAAGAGTAGTAGATCCTACAGTAGCAAGGATGGTTTCATACCAAAACTTAACTTCAAAGTAAAATTTGATCACATTATGAAACGGTTTCTTAGGCACGCGAACAAGATAGAACTTAATACTCAACTGTGAAAACACAATGTGCACCATGACAATTACCTCTAGAAAACGATCCGGGTGAACCATTCCATTCCATGAACGCATTTTTTGTCCAGTAATTGGGTCAATAAGGATCACTACAGGCATAGATTCCAACTTGTAGTATGTGCAAACCTTCTTGCCTTCAGTTGTATCATCATAGGTCTGCATTTTCAAACCAACATTATACAGGTGAAACACAAAAAATAAACAATTAATTTTTTCGGAATCATAAGATGATGCAAAAGTTCATGCACATGTCTGTTAAACAATTAGGAGGCAAAACCCTCACAAAGATACAATTAATCAACCTTGAGACACAATTAACAGTACCTCAAAGGTATGGTCAAGATGAGATCATGAGATACAACAAAACACAAACAAATTTTTACATAACCTCCGTAAGTCTAAGTTTCAATAAGAGATCCTAAGACTATTGTTCTAAAGGTCAACCTCAGTCAAACTTTTGGTTCAAAGACAACAACATAATATAATCCTAACAAAAATTGAAACCATCATGGCTGCCTTGGGCAAAACTTACTTGCTTTTACAATTCTACAAAGGGAGCATGGTAATTTATATGTAATAACATCCAGTCCCATACATGTTGACTTTATTTCTTTAAAAACAAAACCACACTAATGCATATAAATATATATTAAACGGTATATATTGAGTAAATGTGGATATGTATATCAACAGCTTCCCATTATAACCAAAGAATAAAGTATATAGGAAAAATAAGCCCAAAATAAGTAAAAAGGATTTCTGAAAATTAAAGACCATCAGCCATGCACTTGTATTGCGAATGTAAATATAATAGAACAGCCTGAAAACAAAATTTGAATTTTATTTAATACAAAGAAAGAACAACTAAAGCATGGAACTGACCTGCCAGAAGATAAAATTAGTAATAATGGTTTGAGAGACAGCTTCATTGGCCCAGGTGTCTCGATTAAGCTTCACAAAGAAACACACACACACCAAAAGTGAACCCACATGCAGAGAACAACGAAACCAAAATAAAATAAACCAGAAAGCAAACACTACCATATGCGAGCTGAACTCTTTAGTGGATTGCAAGTTCACCAGTAGCCATTTGTCCTGGACAGAAGCAGCACTTTTTGCCTGCATTAGTTTAAAAAATTAAATTAAATTATGTTCCATCAACAGTTATGAAATGCTAAATGATAATAATTCACTCAACATGTCCCTTATGAACTAGGATTCTTTCTATGCTTATAATTTGGTAGAACAAATCAGAAAGGTTTTGAAAAGAGGGTTACAGCTGCAAAAATATGATCATATCTGATATATGTAATTTATTATTCAAATCAGATCAAAGGAAGAGCCTAAAAAATAAGGGATACTCCCAAAAAGCCCTTCCCAGCAACCTGCAACACCAATACTGATATACCATTCAAGTTCAACTTCTACAATATACACACTACTGAAAAATTAACATAACATCAGAAGACCATACCTTTTCAAAGGAACCCTGGAACAGTATCTTAAAGGGAGGACGATATAAGGATGCAAGATTCTCTTGAGTAGCATTTTCTGAGGATGTAGCACCTTGGTCTGATTCCCATACCCCAGGACCCTGTTCATGTTGTGACAATCGAGCCCTTGGTGCTCTATATGAGAATGAAAAAAATAAAAACTAAACGTCACCGTTTAATAGAAAAAATCACGATTGTACATCACCATCTGACTTGAGTACACAAATGAAACGTGAATTAAGAAATGATAAAGAAACTAAAACGTATTCCACAATCTACACTACCTTGTAGGTTGTCGAGAAAATAGAAAGGAGACTATTTGCACAAAAGTAAAAGGAAAGTTGTAAAAATATCTGAAACACGGTACACAAAGCTCTTCAATTAAAATGAAATGAATAATTAGTTACATTCCTGGCCACGTTTCATTTCTCAAACTCCATGTTCCCACATGGCATGCCAATTGCTAAAAGAATGAAGAAAGAACAATGAAATACCATGTGACTTCCCATAACTCATAATGCAATGCCTAACAAGTACAACCATAATGCATTAATACAGTTGTTGAGTAGATGCAAATCACAGTTCAAAGATCTTGAATTTAAAGATGAAAGATCACTCCCACTATAATATCAATTATACCATCCACTTAAGAAGCCGTGAAACAGAAGAAGTAATACAACTACAACCAACCAAAATTAAGTGAAAAGCTTAATAGTTCACAAGACAAAGCTAGAAATGGAGTGATAAAACATACCCATACAGTGCCATATCGTCATAAAGAACGTCCCTTATAACAGGCATAGGCGCGCGCACCTCATCTTCGCTGAATTGTCCCACATTCTCATTCGCACCGGGAAGTGCCACATTTTCATTTACACTGCCACAAACCCAAGTCAAACAAGAAAAAAAAAAAAAAACACACACACACACCAAAAAGACATAAACAACTAAAGAATATGAAATACCCAGAAGCTTGATCGGCCAACCGATCAATATTTTCAGTCGGTAGTGGCGCCGCCTCGGCCATTATCCCAGTTTCATTACCCACATAAAAGAGCTGAATTGCTTCCTCAAGCTTCCACCCAGTGGCCTGTTACATAAAAATTGAAGCTTTCAACATCCACGCATTGTACAAAGTCTAAATTCATCACCTTTCAAGCAAATGAGCACCCAAATCCACTAATCCAACTCACTTTCCTTTTCCCAAAGAGCAAAACCACAACCCCCAACACACAAAAAGATCAATGCGATGCGTTTTGGGTACTAAATGAGAGATTGAAAGTTACCTGCAGAAACTGCCGGGCAGTATCGGCGGTCTGTCCGACGGCGATCTCCAAAAACGAAGACACCAGGCTCTGCTGGTCATTTGCTGACATCACACCCTCCATCCCTCCCGCTTGCTCGCTCTACAAACAACCACAACAACGGGATTCAAATTTCCATCTTTACTTGCTTCGATAGCAATTGGATTTTAAATTTTCATCTGGAAATTCTACGGTTGTGAGCAACACGAAACGTACCGATTTAGGAAAACCTTGGGATTTTGGCAATGGATTTTGTTCTTCTGAGATTTTGTTCCTCTATTTTTTTTTTTTTTTTTTTTTTTTTTTTTAATAAATAGGCAGCTTTCATTTTTATTTTTTTCGGAAAATTGTAATTACGATTTTAGACAGAGTTGGCAGCGGTATTTGTGTAGATATAGACGAACTTGAAGGGTGTTCTTTGGGTAGTCTAGGAGAATTGTGGGCTTTTCGGTTTGGACAGTCAGTGGTATCTGAGACGAGGCCCAAAGTTAGATACTGACTAATGGTCTTGAAAGGGCCCATATGAGAAAGGGTGGGCCACATACACGTCCTAGATTGAGATGAGATGAAGAGTTTGAACTCAAAAATAGTGGGTTTCTACATGATTATGAGAGGCATGTTTACTAGTAATCGAAGTCAAAATAAAGGTGTTGTATTTTGATTATGTATTACTTTAGTGAATTTACCATATGAGAGTGAAAACACGAGTATGATTCACACAATATCATGACTTCAAAGTCCTTATTTTGTACAAATTGGACACTAGTTAGGGGTGATATTTTGATTCTTGTAATCAACCCCTCAAAGGTTCATTTTTTTCTAACTACGAATTAGTAAACTGTAAATATGTCATGCATAAGTTTTAGAGAGCAAAACAAAATATTTAGGTTATATCCCACAAAAGATAAGGGAATTTTAACGAAAAACCACATTTTTACACTAAAAAGTCAATCTTAGTACTATTCAATTTACCTTTTATTTTGTCCTTATTGTTAAAACTCAAAATTTTCAAATCATTTTCATTAATTCTTCTTTAATATAATATAATGGTGATGTGTGGATGGGATGTTGTGACATGAGCGCACAAAATTTTCACCGTCCAATTAATGGTGATTTGATCCAATAGTACGTTTCCCGTACTGGCGAAAGGTCAAGTGCTAGTAGGTATGTAGATTTACTCCGAACCAATCTTATGCATTTGTATTGGTGTGCCTAAGTGTTTGTCAATGCCTAATTCATCCTTTTGGCTCTTAACCACAACCACTCGTTTCAATGTGCATGCTTATTAGTTTTTTATCGGATAATCAAAAACGATTGCAAAGGTTTTTATATAGGTAGGTCTAGTAAACGGGCTGTGTTTATCGATTTTTATCGTTTTCATATCATACTTCTTATATTAAGAAGTTGTGTTGTGTTAAACTCATTATCTTAATCAGTTCTTAACAGATGACCCGATAAAGACCTTATTTGTTAACGGATTGTGTCGATTCATCTCAAATTAATAACTATGTAAGAAATTGTCACGTTTAATGTTTAAATCTTGCAAACGATACCTTATTGGGTTCTTAATGGGTGACTCGATAAAAACCCGACTCATTTAACGGATTCTTAACGAGTGACTTGATAACAACCTGGCTTGTTAACAGCTTGACCCGAAAACCTGTTATTTTCTATCGTTTTTGTATTGAGTCAATGAATCGTGTAAGAAATTGTCAAGTATATATGGCAGTACATTTTTTAACAATATTAATTTGAAGATAAACAAACATTTCAAAAAAACTCCTACACAATCGTCACAAGTACAAGCACAAGCGCAACAAGTATACGTCTGTAACAAAGGCGGTAGACGCAACAGAACAGTGAGATTTTGAAATCAAAATAAATAGTTGACGTTTATGAAGTCACTATCAAAATGCTGTTAAAGGAATTTGGAAATCACATACACCAAGTAAAATGACTTTTTCATGTAACTGTGTTTAGTGTGTAATTAGTCCTTAACATATTAAAGATGTCAAAATGTATTATTTAATCTCATGTGAGGTTTGCTAGCTAGAGCTACCTACATCTAGTAAAGAAAAGATGGAGCACCACTAAACCAAAAAATTAATACTTAACCATATATTATTCAACCTTTTGCTTCTTTGCAAATTCTTTAATCACAGATTATATAAAAAATATAATCTAGGTCCTTTTTATTTCATTTAATTAAAGGTCGCGTGCTATTAAACCAAGTTAATTAGTTTGTCCCACCCCATCTAATTTTTTTTTTCAAAAGTAGGAGACTCGTGCGCTTCAAGAACGCGTGTCGAACAACCCTTGCCATGGATGGAGCTTTCTCACAGGAAAATAATTGGAAAATGTCTAAGAAAGTTAGAAAGATGACAATGGCTACCACTATATATGCATGCTTAATGGACCTGTAATCTTTAATTATTTGGGTTTTAGGCACTCTTTGGCCATATGTGTCCAATTCACCTAACTTTGGGGTGTGTAGCTTTATATTCATCTTATGGGAACAATTTGCTAACTAATTACGTACTGTGCTATATATGTACTTGATACTTGGCAGGATCCGAAACAAATCTCTCCAACATTGGCGGAATCTTACGGTTGGAGTCGGATGTTGTTGATCAAAAAGTAATAAAGCGTCATGTTTTTTTATTTTTTTTTATTTTATTTATTTTATTTTATTCAAAAGATGGTGTCAGATTCAAAATTATTATAATAATTTAAATAAAAAGAAATTTCGAACCCAAGACACAAAAGAATTTCGAACATATAATCCAACAATTTCTGAAATGATAATCTATAATGGTTCAATCCATAGGTAGCTTAGCTCAACTTCCATCACCAACAGTGCACAATCCTAAGCATACGCTGCTAATTAATTATATGGATTTTCTCGTAAGGCACCTTTTTAATTTGTTTCTTATTCCTAATAAGTGGCCATTTTTGTTTGGTTGGTTTTGCCATCAGGTCTAAAGCCACCAAGGTTTATATATTCACCACAAAGTTAGCCAACTTTCTTGCTCCACTAAATCAAAATCAAATATTTAATTGCGTGCAGGTTTTTTTTAGGGGAGGCACCGAGCAGATTACCATTGGAAAAATATGCGCATGAAATCTTGATCATTGGCCTGAAAGTAGTGAAGTCAATCTATTCCAATTAAATTAACGTCAGATGAAACAATTGAGCAAGTTCAAGATGAATATGGCGAAAACCTAGTGCATGCATGTTCACTTTAATTAGTTTGTATTTCTTTTTCTTTCCCTTTTCCTTTGTATGTTGGTGCATGTATGAAAATTCCAAGGAATCTATATGTTGGTGTGCTGGAATTTTCGGAGGCAAAAAATAATCATTATTCTCATAGTTTGTGTCGTTTCACAAAAAACCTTTGGAAGGAAAGTTAGCAATACTTAATCTCAATATTTGTGTGCATATATGCAAGTGCAACGACTAATAACAAAATATCGTGAGAGATTTCAGGGACATGGAGGGATATCTTTGATATGACACTTGGATTGTGGAAATAGATAGAACAGAGAGGATCCAAAGTTAGAGATGGCTCACTGCAAAAAAATACCCACTAGCTATTGATTTGTAATTGGCTCTATTTATAGTTTTGAAGAGCTATTGATTTGTAATTGGTTCTCTTTATAATTCTGAAGATAAAAGAGTCTGGTCGCATTCAAGGACGGAGACAGCTAAAGTCCACTGTTGGGAGTAGTTGTTCTAACTGAAGTTTTGTGTCAACACTACTATAAAAAACATTTTGCACGACAAAATAAGATTTGTTGCACAAAGTATGATTTCGTCACTCAAAACCTTGCGAAACGAAATTTTTGTCGACATGATTGGTCGCGCAAAGCTTATTACGATAGGGTTTGCGCAACGAAATATTTTGTCACACAAAGTTTTTGGTTTTTTATTTTTGGGGTTTTTGAACTTTAATCCTCGAAGAAGATTAAAATTCAATAAAAACCTGGTGTTAGATTGGATATTGATTTTAGTCCTCTTATGTGTACTTAATTCAAATTTATATTATAATTTTGTTTTAATATTTAATAGATATCTTATTTAATGTCACATCCCGGCCCGGGGCGGATCACTTCCCGGGCCCGCTCCACCACCTAGCACGATATTGTCCGCTTTGGGCCCCGACCACGCCCTCACGGTTTTGTTTCTGGGAACTCACACGAGAACTTCCCGATGGGTCACCCATCCTGGGAATGCTCTCGCTCGCTACTCGCTTAACTTCGGAGTTCCAATGGAACCCGAAGCCAGTGAGCTCCCAAAAGGCCTCGTGCTAGGTAGAGATGAGAATATACATTTAAGGATCACCCTTGGGCGATGTGGGATGTCACAATCCACCCCCCTTAGGGGCCCGACGTCCTCGTCGGCACACACGCGGCCAGGGTTAGGCTCTGATACCAAATTGTCACATCCCGGCCCGAGGCGGATCACTTCCCGGGCCCGCTCCACCACCTAGCACGATATTGTCCGCTTTGGGCCCCGACCACGCCCTCACGGTTTTGTTTCTGGGAACTCACACGAGAACTTCCCGATGGGTCACCCATCCTGGGAATGCTCTCGTGCGCTACTCGCTTAACTTCGGAGTTCCAATGGAACCCGAAGCCAGTGAGCTCCCAAAAGGCCTCGTGCTAGGTAAAGATGGGAATATACATTTAAGGATCACCCCTGGGCGATGTGGGATGTCACATTTAATGTCATTACATTAAAATTAAAATTATTTATTATTATACACATTTTAATTCATTATGTTTATTTTACTTCATCTAATTAGTGTACCTAAACATCCCTATCATAATATATTTTATTAAAGTAGTGTACCGAAATGTCAGCACCAAAATATATGATACTAAACTAGTGTATCGAAATGTTGGTATTTAAATATATTATAATAAACTAGTGTACCTGTCACATCCCGGCCCAGGGCGGACCACTTCCCGGCCCCGCTCCACCACCGTAGCACGATATTGTCCGCTTTAGGCTTACCATTCCCTCACGGTTTTGTTTTTGGGAACTCACGAGCAACTTCCCAGTGGGTCACCCATCATGGGATTGCTTTAGCCCCTTTCTCGCTTAACTTCGGAGTTCCTACGGAACCCGAAGCCAGTGAGCTCCCAAAATGCCTCGTGCTAGGTAGGGATGGGAATATACATATAAGGATTACTCCCCTGGGCGATGTGGGATGTTACAGTACCGAAATGTCCGTACCTAAACATATTATATTAACCTAGTGTACCGAATGTT